TTTTTTAGACTCCCAGGGCATGAAACAGTTCAGGCACCTGAACTGTTTTCCGCAGCCTCCTGTCCCCTGTCTGTGGCTTCTAATCCTGCCTTTAAACCTGGGATTTGACGAGGCCAAAGGCAGCTATTGCCACACCTCACGAGACACCTCAGGGACGGCAGTAACCAAGCAGTGACACTGACCTCCAGGCCCAGTGAGCAGGAAGGAAAAGGGCTGGGACACCAGGGACACCTGGAACTATGTTTGATCCACTCAGGGAGCTCTGCTGTTGTTCTCAGACAACATTTACTCCCTTAAGGAGGTGGCAGACTGGTGGGTAGCCAGATCCAGAGGCCATAGCCAAATCCTGGCTTACCACAGCTCTTTATGCAACAGGCCAGAGCACTCTGTGCAGAAGAAGTAGGCGAAGCCAGGGGGGTCACTCACCACAATCATGATGTACCTCAGGCCGCTCTGATGGAAGTCCCGCACCATGTCCGGGTAGTCCTTGAAAGTTTTCTTGTTGAAGGTGAAGTCTCTCTTGGCATCCATGTAATCCAAGTCATTCCACTGCACGTCCTGCGGAGACCAGGAGCGCCGTGTCTGGGGAGGCGCAGGCTGGGCCTGCACGCAGCTCGACCCGCAAACCCGGCACCGATGCGCTCGCTTGGCCTCTGCTGATGCAGGGGAGAGGCTTCCCTGGCTCCACAATGGCTCATCATGACTCCCAATGTCTTCCCAGACCTACCAGGGGGAAGCGGGCTGCTGTCATGTTGACCACAACCTCTCGGGTAATAGCGGTGGAGGAGTAGCCCCAGCGGCAGAGGTGGAATCCCAGGCCCCAGTATGGGGGCATGAAGGGGTACCCTGGAAATCAGGAGGGAGAGGTTAGCAAAGCCGGCGGAGAGATCACGAGTCACCCTGCAGCCTCTCTGCACTGCAGGGCACACTCTTCCCTCCCTGCAGCAGGAGGAAGGGGACGGAGGGGAATCGGGGACAGTGACAACACTGGCTTTCTTCCTAGCCCGCCCTGGGCGCTGTGGTTATGACACGGGCAGTACATCTGACAGGCCAAGCAGGAAGGCGACCTGCAGAGCCCTTCACCTTGAAGGGCCGTGTGGAGGACAGGCACTGCCAGCTCGCTCCAGCAGCACCTGCCTCCGGGGCAAAGCCGAGCCGGGAACGCCGCTG